TATTTGTGGATTCAACCCTATGCATTTGTTCTTTGCACAGTGCTCCCATCAGAGTTTAATAAATAAATCATCTGTGCAGAAAAAGTTACAAATACAAAGTGAAATACAAAGTGGCTGCTAGGTAGGTGGCAAAGATCTGCTAGGTTAGGCTGATCCTCCAGATGCTGCTGCTTCCGTGTGGTATTTTTTGCAGTGATTTTTCCACCCGTCCACCGCTCCACTCGCGCATCAGCCAATCACGTTCCTCCGTGATGTGATTACTCACAGGAGCTAACAGCCAATAGGTGAAGGAAATTTGCAGATATATTCTGAGAAGATTAGCTGTAGTTTCATTTTTCAGGCGGCTGAGCAAACAGCTGCTTTGGAAGTTGTGTGGTAGAACAAATGGTAAATTTGACATTTGTTACTCATGCTAGCACTAATCCGCGCCGGTGCAGCAGCGAGACCTCACCCTCACTAGACACTTCCAAGCTATCCTTGATATGCAGTGCTTCCGGCAGGAAATAGCTTTTTCCAGGAGACTCTTGTCAGCAGAACGCTACTGAAGCTCACAAGCCTCATCCCACTACAGAGTCTTCAGCTGCTGTCCTAAAGGAACCTTTTTTCATGAATCCCTTTATGTTCAAAAGGAGTGGTCCCCGAGAGGTGCTTTTTGTGCCTCCGAAGGTACAGCAAAGCTCCTTTATTGTAGCATCATGTACCTTTTTCCGAGTGTGTGGCAGAGGGATATAACCTTGTGGAAGTTGACCGTTCTCTTTCCCTCTTTTTTTTGCAGATGAAATCTATCCGAAAGTTTACCACACCTGCTTCTTCATCGTCACTTATTTCGCGCCCTTGTGTCTGATGGTTCTGGCGTACATTCAGATCTGTCACAAGCTCTGGTGTCAGCAGGTATGCACACGTTCCTGACATGTTTATGCTTTTAATATCGGTATTGTTTTGAGTCCGGCATTACCAGCTAATGCAAAGTCAAGGAGATCCTGGCTCTTGGGATCTTCTGTACAGCACATGATTGATTGTTTCTGGTTTATGGTGAACTAGTGCTCTTTCCATTTCCAGATAATGGCCCCACGGTGTTCACAGCATTCTGGACATGTGCCTGTAACTATTCTCATCTAAATTCTTTTCAAAGATAAGATCATGAAGATCTTGAGAGAGATCTTCGCTTTTGCTCATCGTGAGATATTTCCTTTGTGCCTTTATTGGCCATTGGTCAGGACTAAAGGAGCTGATCTCAATTAGTTCCGATAGGGGGCAGTGTTTCTCTCTCAATGACAGATTCCAGGTTATCTCTTAGCTTTCTTTGCACAGACTCAACTTGTAAACTTGAATGTTCTGATTTCTTTGTATTAAATGAATATTCGGTGGTGGGTGCATCTGGTGGAATGTTTGTGTCAATAGCCAGCTTAGAAATCACCTCACTGGTGAAACACTGTTGTGTCAAATACTTATTTTCCCCGCTGTAAATAACATACAGAATTTCCATTACATTGATTTTTTTTCTTGAGTTTTGAAAGGTTTCATCCTAAATGGATCTGTATTTATCAGGGTCTGACTCTACGACCAGAGGACACAGGATTCTTTTGTACACCGTGTTCCAAATGATTATGCAAATGCTATTTCTGTGTCACAAAAATGTAATATTTTGTTCTGTTCAAAGTATAATGGCATTGTGACTGTTGTGAGGATTTCGTTGTGAGGATGAAATATTACGTGTGCTGTTAAAATGTTTAACAAGTTAAAATGTTCCCAAAGTTTGGTTGAAATGGCACAATAACATCCAGTTCTTTACACAACCTATAAAGTGATTTAAAGGCACTGGCTATTCTATGATTAGGTTTGTTAATAGTTGAGAACTTTTGGCGTAATAATTTGGAAGAGGGTGTACACGAGAAGCTGCTCTTAATATTACAGAACTGTTTCCATAAATCGTTCATTAAAATATGATTGTATTCCTGACGGCGTCTCAGATTCCCGGGACATCCTCGGGGCTGCAGAGGAAGTGGCGCTCTCTGCAGTGTTCAGCTCAGGTGTTTGGGGCCGGGGAGTCGGTGAAGGTGAGAACCAGCGCCGTCTCAGCGGAGATCAAACAGGTGAAAGCCCGGAGGAAGACGGCGAGGATGCTGATGGTGGTGCTGTTTGTCTTTGCCCTCTGCTACCTGCCCATCAGCATTCTCAACATCATGAAGAGGTGAGCTCCGCTGCACTGATATGAAATAAAGTTCCTCTGTAATTTCATCATCCGTACTGGAGAACAACAGAAGAATGTACGGAAATGTTCTTTTCTGAGATCTCAGCTGGTTTGTGTTGCTGTTTCCTCAACAAATATCTGTTATTTCTGTAGAAGTAGCTTTGGATCAAATGCATCTATGAATGTTTGGGAGAACACGGTTTTCACAGCTGGATTTGTGGATCCTCTGCTGATCCTCCTGCAGATCATCTCCAGTTGTTTGGTGGATGAGGAACATTGGTTTGAGTCAGGGCTCTGACTAGACGGTTCATTATTTAGCTCCGTGCTTAGGGTCATTGTCTTTTTGGAAGATTAACCTTCATCCCAGTCGCACTCTGGAGAAGGTTTTCATCGAGGATGATCCTGTATTTAGTCCTGTCCCTGCACCACACAGCATTATTCTACCACCACCATGCTTCACTGTTGGGACTGTGTTGGACAGGTGATGAGCACTGCCTGGATTTCTCCACATGTTCCACTTCAAATACAATTTTTTGCACTGAGGGGAGGCTTTCATTAGCGCATAAAGCCCCAACTGGTGGAGGTCTACAGCGACGGTTAACTTTCTTCAACTTTCTCCCTTCCCCTGACTGCCTCTCTGTGGGGTCTGGATACATTGTGTAGTCACTGTATGTAGGTTCCTATGTAGATTCGCTTTGAAAATGAAAATGAGAAATAATGAAAAACCAAAATCCCATCTCATCTATTGCCTCATTCACATCCCTTGAAATGTGTGAAAGTAAAAGCGAGAAGAAGGATGAGGAAACAGCATTATGTTCAGAGAAGACGGAAACGAAGTTTGTTCAAACGAAGCTGCTTTTCATAAATATGGCCTTCTATATTTTATAAAGATATAGTGCTGGTCCAGACGACTGCAGCTATTATTCTAAAGGCTTTGATGAATAATGCAGAATATGGATCAGAAACAGAAATACGAGCACCAGCCACTACATGGCATCACCGGTGCTGGAACGTTTCCAATTGTTCACATTTCCATGAAGAGGTTTTCCATCACTAATGTAAAGTGTGCTTGTAATAAATAAATTGCTGTAGCATTCTCAGTATTATTACTTTGCTAGAAATATCTGAAAGAAACATTTTGTAATTGACTTTTTGCCCATTTTGTTCCACCAGAGTGTTTGGTGCTTTTAAGAAAACAGGGAACAGAGAAACCGTCTACGCCCTGTTCACCTTCTCTCATTGGCTCATCTACGCCAACAGCGCAGCCAATCCAATCATCTACAACTTCCTCAGCGGTGAGTCAGATAAACACCATCTGTGTCTGTCTACTGTTGACAATCATTTGAAATAAATTCATATGAAAAGCATTTTTATATTTCACCAGAAGATAGCAGTAGACGTCTGGGTGCTGCATATCACATAGCATTTCCTGTCAAATTCAATCATTTCCTCCGACGACGCATGGAAATCCTCCGTTTGCCGTTATTCAGCCCGAAGTTTTAATGGCACTGCAGACTTCATTATTCATCTTCATTCATCCTCTGACCCACTTATTATTTCCTTTCGGGGTCTTTCCTTTCTCCAGCTCACATCGGGGAGGGGTGGAGGTACACCCTGGACAGGTCGCCAGTATATCGCAGGGCAGCAACACATTCACACCTAAGGAGAATTTCGATTATTCAAACCCAAGTACCCGGAGGAAACGCATGCAAGCACGCGGAGAACCAGGAAGGAGTTTGCATGGAGATCTCAAGGAGATCTTACGGCTCCCCGTGTTAAAATGTAGAATTTATTGCCCTGCTCCACCCCCTAACGCTGCTGTGATTGTGATTGGCTGATTGTGTACGGGTTCAGGGTTTCTGGGGCAACAGGGGTGGATGAGGTTTTGATTGGTGTCGAGTTCATTGATCGCTCATGAGCGCTTCTGACCCCAGGTCAGCGGATACAGCTGGAGACAATGTCTCAGGAACTGTAAACTTCTGTAAACTTCTTATTTGTGAAATAATCATTTTTTCCCTCATTGAAATATGATACTTACATCAACCTGAAAACACATTTTTGAGAGGACTTTTAATTACTAATTACTTTTTATACTTTTAAATATATAATATCCAACATAACCTATTGGCCTGAAAAGCAGTGAAAGCACATTTTGAGATTTAATTTAACATCTTTTTATTGAATCCACACATATTTAATAAAAACTGTGAAACTGCTAGCTGTGAAAAAAATGCCAGTTGACAAAATAATAAAGAGTCTATAAAAACAATAGAAACACAAGAAGAAAATGCATTCAAACTAAATGTAAATTAATTTGACTCTCCATCAGTCAGTGAGATTTATTTCTACAGGTAAATATTAGATGCTTCTCCCGATCCACACTTCTGGCTCCAGAGTAGCATCGAATTAGGAAGAGAACATCTCCACCTATACTACACCTCACTTTCTCCATCTGCTGGACACTGTATGACCTCACAGATACTTTACTCATATTGGAAATACTTCTCAGCTATTCACATGCAGATTTCTCCAGCGTGTTATTTCCCAAAGGAAGCTGCAGGAAATATCAAACCTGAACCGTACCAGGAATATAAGCAGCCACCCCAGAGTCCTGATTAAACCGGCTCTCGGTAAACGCAGGTGATAAAGAGAGATGCAGGTGCCTCTGGGGCATATAACTACGGTACATCAGTAGGCTTGATGTGACAACTCCTCAGACAAAAAGCTGAAAATTTGTCAATATAATTTTTCATCTGTCCTTTTGGGATCAACAAAGAAAAGAATCACAAGATGGATTTGAAATGCTGAAGATTTCCTGCGGCTCAGTCAGCAGAGCACTGCGCTAACGTCACAAAGATTGTGGGTTCAAACCCCAGGGAAAGCAAGAACAACAATATGCAAAAATATATTAATTTCTATAAATATAAGTAACTTTGGATAAAGGCGCAGATGTAAATTTGATGTAAATGAAAGAAATAAGCTTGTCGTGCTCTGAAAGATGATGTAATGCTCGTTTGTGCTCAGGTAAATTTCGTGAGGAGTTCAAAGCGGCGTTCGTCTGCCACTGCGCATCACGGAGCGACCCACAGAAGCAGCACGTCAGAGCCAGGAACAGCACGGACAGCCGGAAATCCCTCTCCACGCAGGTCCAGCATCTCGACAACGTCTCCAGGATCTATGAGCAGCCCCTCTAGAGTTCTGACCTACACTGGTTTGGTTTGGTTCCTCAAAAGAACCCTCAAGTTCCTCAAGCCCTCTTCAAACGAACGTCCATCACAACATTTACATTTAATTAAAGGTTCCTTGGATTCAAAGGAGTCTAATGGAATGCAAAGATCTGATGGAGCTTTTTCTGGAGCCCCAAGGAGACACTTGAAGGAAAACTTTCCCCAGAAGACTAGAAAAAAGAAAACCCAAGAGGGCTTTGGCTGATGTTACGGCACTTGTACTTTTGGTCTTCAGAAACATGTGCGTCTGGAGATGACTTTTCTTCTTGACACGAAGAGCATTTGATAACTTTTTGAATGTATCATGGAGCTTGTTCAGGTCCACCTAAAGCCTCTAGGTCTTGGAGAAACTACACTGCAGGTTAAAGACAAGTGTTTTTAAAGGATCTTCTGCACAGGAGGAGCCTTTAAAGCAGACACAGTTATCAAGCTAGACACAGGTGGAGCCAATAATCAATAGCTGGGATAACAACAGGGGCAGGAGAGCACATGGCTGCATTTTGGTGTTCTGTTAGCCATAACAAATATAGTAAAAAAAAAAAGGCTTGAAATATTCAACTCTGTGTTTAATGAAGCTAAAAAATGAATGCTTTCTTTTATATTTCTATATAAACTTTTTCAGTTTAAAGTGTTTTGATGGTGATCCTTTATTAATCACTGGTCTGGATAAGAAACTTCAGCTAAATATATCATGCAGGAGACAAACACTGTGATAAGTGAAATAATGTGATTTATGGAAAGTGTGCAAGAAGTATTTAAACAAACTTAGGCTTGTGCATAAATTTAGGCACCCTTGACATTTTATTGATTTCAATTCCTTTAGCACTAATTATTAGAACCCAGAATTGTTTTGGTAACATTAGTGACCTTTGACCTCCACAAACAGGTGGATCCTATCAGGAGAAAGTATTTAAAGGAGGACAATTATAAGTGTTTCTCCTCTTTGATCTTCTCTAAAGAGTGGGAGCCTCAAAACAACTCTGAGATGAGCTGAAAACAGTGATTGATGAGGATCGTGGTTTAGGGGAAGGATACAGGAAGTTCTCAGAGATTTAAGCTCTCGGTTTCAACTGTGAGGAACATTGTGAGGAATTGGAAGACCAGAAGCACCGTTAATCTCAGATCAGCAGAGGAGCAGGATGGTGAGAACAGTCACGGACAACCCACAGACCAGCTCCAAACACCTACAGCATCATCTTGCTGCAGATGGCGCCACTGTGCACCGTTCAACTATTCTGAGCACTTTACACGAGGAGATGCTGTAGTGACGAGTGATGCGGGGAAAGTCGTTTCTCTGCACACGTCACAAACGCTGTCTGCTGAAGCACATCTGGACAAGCTTCGTTCTGGAATAAGGAGAGGTGGACTGATGAAACTAAGTTATTTGGGTAAAACAAGGGTGTTATTCACGGTGGAACAACAGCATTCCAAGAAAAACACCTGCTCCCTGCAGTAAAATCTGGTGGTGGGTGCATCATGCTGTGGGGCTGTGGCAAGTGCAGGGACAGGGAATGAATTCACTCAATATCAGAAGATTCTGGAGAACGATGTCCAGGAATCAGTTGATCTTTCAGCAGAACAACGACCCAAAACACGGCTCCGAATCTACTGCAGCATCCATCCAGAGGAACCAAGAGAACGTTCTGGAATGATCATCTCTGTCCCCAGACCTGAATATTACTGAACATCTGTGGTGTGACTGAAAGCGGGCTGTTCATGTTGAGGAAACCCTCAAACCGGACTGAACTGGAGATGTTTGTAAAGAATAACGATCGAAAACTCATTCTGCCAGAATCCAGACTCTAACTGGAAGCTGTAGAAAGGCTGTTATTTCTGCAAAAGGAGGAAGCACTTAATATTGAGTTAATTTTTCTTTTGTGGTGCATAAATTTTTTTTTGCATAAATCATATAAACTTTATTTCACTTCTCAAATATCTCTGTGTTTGTCTCTGTGTGATCTATTTAACTGAGATTTCTTTTCCGGACGTCCAGTGATTTTTTGGGGTTGCGTCTGCACGTGCTGGTTCTTACCGTGTGTGTTTCTGCGGTTTTGTTGTGCATGCACCTGATCGTTCGCTTGGTTCTGTTCACTCAGGCTCTTGTGAGTTTTTGCTTTTCAATCCGATGGTTTTATTTCACGTGTTGTGTTTATTCTGTGATGCCGAGGAGAGCTTCTCTCAAACAGAGCTGTTTACAGACGAGCTCTTGTGGAGTGTTTGCTCGTCGCTCGTGAAGCCTGGAGCTGTGTATTGTTAGTCTGATGATAATAGAGTAATAAAACTGAACAATGGCACAATTATCCTCTTTGTTCATGTGTAATGATTGAGAACAAAATGAGATTTAATATAAGTTCAGACGAGGAGTCAAATACTTTGAGCGTTTGGGGAAGAACAATGCTTTTAATGGCTTTGATCAAAAGTGTTTTAATTACTTTCTTTCATCTGAATGCAAATATCTTCAGTTGTGTCCTGAGGAAACAGCACAGAGAGAGAAATTCATGAGGGAAAGCTGAGCCGCTGCAGGCCCTCCGCTTTGCACCCGGAGCCAGTTCAAACACATCTGAACAAACTGATGCTAAAGTCTGCTTTCATTAACCTACAGCTGTGTGCTGAGAAATAATCACATTTTCACAGATTCTGCTCGTTTTTTTACTTATAGAGTACAATAACAACAATAACATCGAGATTATTATCAGCTGGAAGAATTAGTTCATATTGTTATCGATTGAATGGTTTTGAGAATCCAAGTTATTTCTATATGTTACATCCCATCACACCTTCGGTCATTTATTTGCCGCATGGAAAGAAGAAAGAAAGCGATCAACAGAGATTTGAAAAATGTTTGAAAGAATTATGTTAAATACTTGGAAAAAGAAATATGGAAGAACTATGATTAAGGAAGCAATGAGTTTAGGAAGAAAAGGAGAACTTTGAAAAGGAAGGGAGTGTGAAGGAAGTAGAACTTTTACATGAAAGGATAGAACGGAGGGATGAAACACTGGAAGGAAGCGAGAAAGATTTGGAGTGAGTTTAATTTGTATTTGGTTTGTCCTGCATTCACAAACAGATGTTTATTTTATTGTGTTTTATTTATCACACTTGATAGTGTTTTGGGATGCTGCTGGAACTGACCAATTCCCTCCGGTGATCGAATAAAGCATCCATCCATCCATCCATCCACCCATCCACCCATCCATCCATCCATCCATCCATCCATCCATCCATCCATCCATCCACCCATCCATCCATCCACCTGTCTGTCCATTCATCCACAAGCAATTGTTAAAGTACTGAAACAATTTTTTAGATGAAAAGAAGAGAGGAAGGAAGGAGAATTAAAAGTAGGGGGTCTATTTGGAAAGAAAAATGATTAGGAAGGATGGGTGACTGGAAGAAAAATGAAACCGTTGTGGAGGAGGAATTTATGAAAGAAATCAGCTTTCAGTCCTTAAGGAACAAAAAGCAAAACCTTTGCATTTAAATATTATAAGCATTTAAACAAGGAAAAGTGTCCTTTTATTTTTCTAAATAGTTAGGTCCCCTGCAAACAGAGGGGGGGGGGGGCAGAGAGAGAGAGAGAGAGAGAGAGAGAGAGAGAGAGAGAGCAGTGAACCTCCGCATCTCCATCACTCTGAAGCTCTGCTCCTCATCAGGACTCATGAGGTCCACAGGAACTCTGCTCCTCATTGGTGAGTGAAACTTTAAAACTTTACTTTCTGTTCTCATGTACAATGTTTCGTAGCATTCTTTCATTAATTACCGGTAATCGAATTGAGGACGTTATTAATAAAACAATAAATACACAGCAGAAAATCTTTACTCTAGATATAAGAACATCATCTGCGTGAGTTTCATTTAGAAACGGATTGCTTCATGTTTCTTTAGGTTCAGGTGCTTGATGGGGAAAATTAGACAAAATTCTGAATTAAAAATAAATGGCTCAGACATTTTTATTATTATATTTTGCATCCATTCACAGAAACTGTCAAAGTTCCTAGACCCCCATTAGCAGATAAAATGCTTAAACTAACAGGTAATAGATCTATTAAATAAAAATAAAAAATAAAAAAATCATTAGATTGAACAGTGAACTCAATGCAGCTAGAACGGCATCACGGCTGTGTCTGTTATTTGTTGTACTTTTAAATCTTGTGTTGCTTGTCTGCATGAAATACTACAGTAATTTTCCAGTAATAGCCGCCAATAACTGATTCTGGTTCAGATGGAATAAACAATGCACATGCTCCCTTGTTCCTCTTGTGATGATTTCCTCTACAAATGCTTTAAATATATTCACAACTTAAATTACCCACAACTAGGGTGTAATTAAAATATTATTGATATTTAACAATCAATGGCATAACGTAATCGGGAGAAGTAATCAGGACACGCCCCCCCCCCCCCAGTTATCTCAATAACACACACTCAACATACCAAACCAACGTCTTCTCTCTTCGACCGAGACTCCAGATGATGGCCTCCTGAAAACACAGTGATTGTTAGCAGATGCTGAGGCTCCCAGTGATCAGGGTCTAAAGATAACGAATGATAACTGATGGTTCCATGTTATGTTTTGTGTGTTCCAGTGTCTCTTCTGCTGACGGGCTCAGATGCTCGGAGCAGAAGCTCTGACTGCATCTCTCACGCGGAGCGTTGT